GAGAGAGAGAGAGAGAGAGAGAGAGAGAGAGAGAGAGAGAGAGAGATAGAGAAAGTGCAGTCACAGTTTTTCTCTGTCTGTGTTTAATCTCTGCATCTCATACGCTTTCTTCGCTCTTTCAGTCTTTGCCTGTCTCTCTCTTTCTCTCTCTCTCTCTCTCTCTCTGCATCATCGTCTGTCTCTATGTTTCTGTTTCTCCTGTCTCCTGTCACTCATTCTCACTCTCGCTCACTTTATCTTTCTCTCAATCACTCCCACACTCTCTCGCTCACTCTCTCTCTCTCTCTCTCTCTCTCTCTCACTCTCTCTCACTCTCTCGCTCCTTCTCTCTTTCTATATATATCTCTCTCTCTGGCTTCGCTTTATGTCTCCCTCCATCTGTATAACTCTGTCTCGCCGTCTGTTTTCGTTTCTGTATCTCATCTTCACCTCTTTCTTTCTCGCTATTCATTTTATTGCCTGTTTCTGCTTCACTCTCTTCGTCTATCACCTTCCTTCTGTATATTTCCCTTTCTCCTTTCTTCCATAGACTTTAGCTAGGGTATTTCATAGCCAACTATACCCTTCAGTTAACTGCTCTCTCTGCTTGTTATTATGTGAAGCCAACTACCGGCTAACAATTTTTAATTAATACCAATTTTAAGTACCTAGTTGTTGCTGTTGTTGTTGTTGTTGTTGTTGTTGTTGTTGTTGTTGTTGTTGCTGTTGCTGTTTGCACATGCAAATTACGCATTTAATTGGATTAACGCACATTTCCGATATTCACTGCACGCCACACATCCCGCTCTCTCTCTCTCTTTCTCACTCTCTCCCTCTCCCTAGTCTCTGGCCGTGGCCAATTCATCATCGGGGTCTGCGTTTATTTATGTTTGCGTTTTTAATTATGTCGCATTGGCCGAGCGCTGAGCCAACTGAGCCAACTAAGTTTGGAAGTGTGCCATGTCTGTGTGGCAAGCAGCATGCAGCATGCAGCATGTTGCATGTGTGGCATGAAGCTGCTGCGGATGTGCGGCTCGTTGCAGCTGCAGCGAGTAATTCACAAAAATAACAAAAAAAAAAAAAAACTCTAACAAACTCAACTTTGATTTACAGCTTTTACTTTTGAATTGCACTGGAAGCCAAGAAACAAGCCCATTCGTAATTGATACCTTAGCACAGGCATTACGACTGCCCTGTTTGATTACACTTTAAATATATATATATGTATTTGTATGTATATTTATATATATTTCTGATTGCATTGCGACGCCTTAACGGTTCAATAATCAGTCAGTCAATCGACTCGATTGCCAATTGTTGCTGGCCTCATGCAAAGGTGAAAGTCTCTCTCTCTCTCTCGCTCTACCCATCTCTCTCTATCTCCCTCTCTCGCTCTACCCATCTCTCTCTGTCTGTCTGTAAGCCTTCTCTGTACCTTTTGGCTGTGTAGGCGCAAAGAATGCGCCTGCAGCAATGCATGGAAATAATACCACAAAAAAAGAAGAAGAAGAAGAAGAAGAAGCATTAAATGA